ACACACACACACACACACACACACACACACACACACACACACAGCAGAAGACGTTCCTATGTGTGCAGCATTTGGGAGTCTAGGGTTCCCTTCCCTGTTTCTCCATGTGGGGACTGGATCCTATCTCCAGCCTGGTCTCTGGGGTTGAAGGAGCTAGGTCTGCTGAAGCACAAGGGATAACTCTGAATCTTCCATTTACCTTTCCTACACCTTACCTATTTCCCTCCAAGGAAAAGGAACCAAAAAGAAGACAGAGGAGGAGGAGGAGGAGGAGGAGGAGGAGGAAGAAAGAGAGAGGAGGGAGAAAAGGAAGGAAGGAAGGAAGGAAGGAAGGAAGAGAAAGGAAGAAAGTTCAGTTAGTTGGGAACTCAAACACCTTGCCCTATCCTCAGGTCTCCTAGCCACACCCAGCCTTCCATTTCTGGAACTCTCTTTTCTGTCCCCTCTCCCCGCCCCGAAGGTGGGAGAGGAAGAAGCTTCAATTGGCAGGGTCCAGAGCATGCAGTGGGTCCAGAGCGTGCAGTGGGTCCCTGCAGGCGTCCTTTGGAATCTGTAGAAAGTTTCTCCTGGAAGGGACCGGGACAGGGCGTGGACTCACCTGAGGGCTTGCGGACCGGAAGACAGCGGCCTCTGCCCAGCAGCAGTGCCCTCAAAGGTGTCTCCTCATCCTTGGTGGGCTGGCATTGCAGTCCTGGGGTGCAGTAAGGCGTATAGACCCCACACAGCTGTCCCTCTTTCCTGACACAATCCCCAGCTTCTGCACAGCCCTCCATTGTGGGCCTCCTAGCCTCCTCCTCCAGGCAGCCTCCAGGACAACCCTCCTGCACCCGCTGCCGGCAGCCTGGGCACTGTGCTAAGGCACTTTCTGGGTGGGCAGCAAGCAGAAGAGTTAGCAGTAACAGCAGTGGCAGCAGCCTGTAGGGGGTCATGACCAGGGTTTTGCCCTGTCCACCCCTTCCAGAACAGTCTTGGTGCAGCTGCTGCCTGCTGCCCTGCTGTACTTTAAGTAGCTGTGGGACACTGGGCTGAGGCCTTTAAGAGCCAGGTGAAGAAGGGAGGGGGGAAAGACTGAGGCATTCTCTAAACTGGGTGGGGCTGGAGAGCCCCCTCCCACCTGGTCCTCCTTACTGTTCCCTACTCAGTTTCTGTTTACTTCTCTAATGTTTCTTGCTTGGTTCCTGGGAATCTAGCCCAGAATTTGGGAGCCGTACAGCTGGCTAGAGGGACTGGGCTGTGGAGTAGGGAGGAGGGGAAGAAGGGAAGGGCGGGGTGTTGGAGGCCTCTGCAATCTAGTTAGTATACTTGTGTAGGAAGATAGAGCAAGCTGGTGTTCCATGAGCAATAGATGCAAGGCTTAAAGTGAACCAATAGCCCAGTGCTGGTGGCTCACACCCGTAATCCTGGCTACTCAGGAGGCTGAGATCTGAGGATTGTAGTTCAAAGCCAACCTAGGCAGGATTGTCTGGGAGGCTCTTATCTCCAATTAACCAGCAAAAAATCAGAAGTAGAGCCTGTAATAAAAAGCCAGGCTTGAGAAGAAGAAAAACAAAAACAAGGGAGGACAGAGCCCCTTGAGTTCAAGACCCAGTACCAACACACACACACACACACACACACACACACACACACACACAGAGTAAACTAAGAGGATATGGTATTGGGGGAATCATGAGAGGGATGTAGACAAGTATGGAGAGAAGGGTTGTGTGAAAACCTTCTGCTGATAGGAGGAAGATCCAGAGAGAGGAGAGGAAAGGTGAAACTCTGAGATGTGTTTATGGAAAAATCAGAAGAGCCAAATGGGGGCAAGATGATGTAAGAGGTTGAGAGGTGCCAGGGATGAAGTGGGGGAGCGTGAGAGGTGGACATCCCTTGTTTCTTTGGTTGGTCTCTGTGGCTCACATCAGCAAAGGAAAAGCAATACACCTTGAACAAACTGCAGCAAACCCGAGCATTGCTGTGGCAGGTTCATCATGTCATCATGGTCAGTGGAGATTGTGGAAGGAGATGTGTACAGCAATCAGAGAGCAAACTCTCCCTCCCCCTCCCCTGCCACCCCTCAAATTAGCCTGTCCCTCAATTCCTCTCCCTTCTCCAAGGCCCAATCATTCATTGGGTTTTTCTAGATTTCTCAGGCTGTGTTATGACCAGGGGACTTTGGAAAGCAACGGGTCTGAGCATTCTGTCGCTGGCTTCTCAGTTGCCTGCCCTTTCTCCACCGGTCTGCCTCTGCTGTTGCTGACCTGCCCTTTCCCACGCAGTGACCCTCCTCGCAGGAGGACGGAAGGACTGTTTCCTCCAGGCAGCCCACCCCGCCCAGGTCAGGGTTATGTAACAGCTATCTAATTCTTTCCTAAAACAAGGGCTTTGGGCAGTGACTAAGTTTAAATTCTGGGCCCCCAAGTAAGAAGGTCAGAGAGGGCTTCCTGAACTTTTAGGCAAATGCCAAATAAAAATAATGTCACCTTTAGCACCACCCCTCAGGCTACCCTGGGACCTTAGGAGCTGTATTTTACACGTGTTTTGCATTTTACCAGATTGCAGATTAGACTGGGAGGAAAAAGGGTGTAGGCTATAGTTCTCTTCTACTAAGGGTCCAGAACCTTCTATTCCAAGATCTGACCTCAGAGCCGGGTCCACCCATATTACTGCTGGGTTGTGGGTTTGTTTTTTTGTGTGATTTATGTATCAATCTGTTAATGGTTCTGGCTCACATTATTATTATTATTTTTTTGCCGGTCCTGGGGCTTGAACTCAGGGCCTGGGTGCTGTCCCTGAGCTTCTTTTGCTCAAGGCTAGCACTCTACTACCTGAGCCAAAGCACCACTTCCACCTTTTTCTGCTTATGTGGTGCTGAGGAATCGAACCCACAGCTTCAGGCATGCTAGGCCAGCGCTCTACCACTTGTAAGGAAACGCCCACCTCTCAGACCTAATCTCTGTCCTCCATGGTAGCTGTAGCACCTGCGCAGTGGGTGAGGCACCGCCCACTTCCACCCACCCCCCCATATAAAAGGGGCCAAGATGGCGCCATTTTCTTCTTTTACTTATGAGAACTTTGCCTTGTCAGTTCTGCTGGAAATAAATCTTTCCTTTTACTTGACTTCAGTCCCCGTGGTCTTTCGGGTTACTTTCTTTTCTTTTCTTTTTTTTTTTTTTTGGTCGGTCATGGGGCCTGAACTCTGGGCCTGGGCGCTGTCCCTCAGCTCTTCAGCTCAAGGCTAGCGCTCTACCACTTGAGCCACA